TCTTGAACTCACAGAGATCTGCCTGCCTCTGCCTCTCGAGTGCTGGGATTAAAGGTGTACACCACCATGCCCAGCATAAATAAAATATTTTAAATAAATAAATAATTTCTTTTAATTTGAAAAAAAAAATCACAACTGACAGAAACACAACCTAGATTTAAATCAAGACTCTCAATGGCCTGTCCCCACCCCTTTATCCTCAAACCTCCCGTGCAGCCAGGGCTCCAAACCTGAGATGTCCACTGGCATGGAGATGCAACGGCTCAGCAGAGGGGCTGATGGAGTGTCTAGGGACGTAGGCTTCACAGGATCCCCTAAGGGGAAGACAAGAGCTCAGTCTTCTGCCCTCAGATATATAGGCTTCCAGCTAGGATTGGAGGGTAAGGATCAGAGGGGGCCTGGGGCAGGATCAATTTAAAATCACAAAACTGGGCCAATGAGATGGCTTAGTGAGTAATAGTGTCTGCTGCTAAGCCTGACAATCTGAGTTCAATTCCTGGGATCCACACAGTAGAAAGAAAGAAGACTCCTGCAAGTCGGCCTGACCTCCACACACATGCTGTGGCACATGCAAACCCACCCACACCTACAATAAATAAATAAATGCAAAATACACAAAATTGAAGGATAGGAGGCCAGAAACCAGACACGGAGTGTGGTCCCTGAGTGTGGGTGGCAGGTAGGGGGGTCTCATCAGGTACCTGCAGGTCCAGGCAGAGGGGCTCCAGTGGGGTCAGGTGGACGCCCGGAGGTCTCCCTTGTGGCCTCCTCAGTAGCCGAGGTACTGACCATGCGCTTAGACCCACGCACAGGACTGGTACGGGTTGGAAGGCCAGGGCTGGGGAACAGGCGAAGCGGCTGGATCTCCTGGGGTGGGGAGGTGGATAAAGACCAATTTATAGCATATCTAAGTGTCCCTCATCCTGTCCACATCCCCGGGTGCTCAGATCCAACTCACATGGCTGAAGAGTTCATTGGTCAAACCCAGGTAGTTGTGAAGTGCCAGAAAGGTGACTCTCTGCAGCCTTACCATGATGATCTGCAGGGGTGGGGGTGTGACCAGAAGGGGGTGGGATCAGATGAGTGGGTGGAGCCTCCAGGAGAATGAGGCTGAGGTGCTTATTGGGCTCAGTCAGCACCCACAGTATGGCTGCTCCAAGAGATAAGCTCAGCTTAACCACAACACCAGCATTTGCTGGTAGCTAAACTTCAGGGTGTTGATGCCTGGGATAAGTGGGGTGGGGACAAGGGTGGGGTGCCCCCACCACCCCTAGAGGGAAGCAAAAGGCCAGCTGACCTGCACCACCCGCACCAAGCTCTCAGGGTACTTAGTGAAGACAGCTGAAAAGGCTTCCACTGGAAGTCGCAGCACTGTGGAATCCCGGGCAGCCCGAGCAGATACGGTCCTCTGAGGATGCTGGTGACCCTTTGGGGTACACATGAAAAAGGACAAGGTCAAGGGCTGTGAGTCTCCTCACTGCTCCTCCCACACTTCTGGGCTCAAGGGACCAGAAATGGGCCTCACTCTCTCCACTTCAATCCTATCGCATGGAACTCACAGTGATGACATCCAGGATGCTCAGAAGGCTGTTGACACTGTCTCCAGGGACCACTTCCTTCACCACACATTCCTTCCCGTCCTGAGACACAGGGGCCAGTGAGCAATGCTGGCCTCCTCCTGGTGGCTGCCACTGGACCCCATCCCTACTCATTCACCCCGGTCTGGTCACTGAATCCACCAACTTCCTAACCAGCCACTGTTTCTTACACTAACCAGCTATGCGGAGTGCTCTCAAATGGTCACTCGGTCCCTTGATAATTTTTAAATTTATTTTATTTATTTTTATTTTTAATTTTTTGTAGTTCTGGAATTGGAATCCAGGGCCCTGTACGTACTAGACAAGACCTCCCCACTGAGCCACACCCCTAGCTCCTCACTGGAGGATTCTAGGTAAGGATTTTACCACTGAGCTCTGCCTCCAGCCCTCATTTGCCTGACTTCTGACTACAGCAGTGTCTAATCCAGGAGCCAGCCCCAGTGCGCAGCTCCCCCCAGTGGCCCTCCTACTCACAGGCCCTGGCAGGCAGAGCTCCAGCAGCCCATCCTGAACCACGTAGATGCTGGCATCTGGTTGGCCTGGCCGGAAAACGTAGTCACCCTGTCCCAGACGCTGGAAGACCATGTGCCGACAGAGCTCCAAGAAGAGTGGTTTCTCAAAGTGACCCAGCACCCTATTGGGTGGGTGGTGGGAGAGGGATGCAGGTGAGGGTAACCTCTGGCTCTATAAGAACCCCCAAAACAACCCAGGCCCAGGACACTCACCGAACGTTCTTCAACATGTACAGCACCTCAGAGGGTAGGTGGGAATTGGCTAGGTCACCCTCTGTGAGGTCAGCCTCCAGAACCGAGGGCGGGGGTTCCTTCCGCTGTAGGGTCGGGGTCTCCTTCTGGATCCGCAAGATCCTGGTGGGAGGAAGGATGGGAGGGATGACAGAGAGAAGGTTCAGAGAGAACTAAGACACCTACTTACCCCCTTCCTTCTGGTTCATACAGAGAAAACTCTCGCCCACTGTTCAATTCAGGCCCTATGTACTTTTTTTGCAATTTTTGAATAATGTAGTTTGATGGTATTTAGATCCCCTCCTCTATCCACACATTGACCTACTGCTCCCCCCCTAACTTAATGTACTCATATATATATAATATATATACTATATATATAATACAGCCTATAGACTCTGATTTGTGTTCCCAAATGTCCCTCAGTGTGGGTCCGTCCACTGGGCCCACCAAAAGTCCCGTCCCTGTAAGACACTGTCTTTCCCCCTCCCAGCACCATCAATTGCCAAAAGTTCCTTAGGTTGGGTTGGGAGTTCTCACCTACTTTCCCATGTCTATGTTGGGATTTTGTCTGATTTGAACTTGCATGGGAATTGTGCATGCTGTCACCATTGCTGAGCGTTCATATGAGCAAATGACCAGCTATCTGGAAGACTATATCCTTGAGGTCATCCACCCCTTCTGGTTCTTACAATCTCTCTACCTCCTTTTCTGAAATGATCCCTGAGCCTTGAGGGGCAGAGGTTTGAAATAGGTATACTCTGTGACTCTTGATCTGTGCACACTGTCCAATTGTACATTTCCTATGTACTTTCATAAATAAAATTTTATTAACATATGCCCATGTTCACTCATTCACATATCATTTATGGCCACCATCCTGCTTCAAAGGTAGACATGAGTAGCCAGGACAGAGACTATATGTGGCCTACAAAGCCTAAAATGTTTACTGTGTGTACTTTTTGTTGTTTTTGTTTTTTAGATTTTTGAGTCAAGGTCTTCCTGTAGCTCCACCTGGACTGGAACTGGCTATGTAGACCAGGCTGACCTCCATCTCTTGATCTCAAAGAGATCCACTTGCCTCTACCTCCCAAGTGCTTGGATTAAAGGTGTGTACTAACACACCCAGCTCTACTATGTGCCCCTTTTTTTTTTTTTTGGTCTTTTTGACACAAGGTCTCCCTGTAGCCCCAGGTGGCCTGGAACTCACTATGTAGACCAGGCTGGCCTTGGCCTTGAACTCACAGAGATCTTCTGCCCACACCAAGTGCTGGGATTAAAGGGGTGTACCACCATGCCCGACCTACGTGTTCTTTTAAAGAATAAATTTACGGTGTAAATTTCTAGAATTATTTCTCCACCTGTCATATGGTCCTGGAACAGACCCCCCTAGATTTGTTTTGGTTTTATGTGTATGAGTGTTTTACCTGCATGCATGCAAGTGTACCACATGCATGCAATGCCTGCAGAGGCCAGAAGAGGGTGTTGGACACCCACTGGAACTAGAGTTAGGAACCGTTGTGAGCCATTTTGTGGGTGCAGGGAACTAAACCTGGATCCTCTGCAAGAGCAGCCAGTGCTGCTGAGCATCTCTCCAGCCCATTTTTTTTTGTTTGTTTGTTTGTTTTGAGACAGGGTCCCACTCTGTAGTCCTGACTGGTCTGGAACTCACTATGTAGACCAGGCTGGCCTTGAATTCACAGGAAACTTCCTGTTTCTGTTTCCCAGCTACTGACATTAGAGGCATGTACTACCACACCTGACCTGGACCCTCTAATTTTTCAAGGTTTCATTTATTCTTTCATAATTACACACACACACACACACACACACACACACACACACACACACACACACACTCTGATCATATACCCCCATTACCCTAACTGCCCTTCTCCTTCTACCAAACCCCTTGTTCCCAAAAAGACCCACCACCATTTTCACGTGTTGTTTGTATGTCTGCGACCCACTGCCACTTAATTGGGGTTGCTTGCATGAGCATGAGTGGAGTTATTTACCAGAGTAAGGGCAACTTACCAGTGGCTACACCACTGAGGAATACAAACCCCTCCCCCAGCAACCACTAACTGCTTAGAGCCCCTCTTCCTGGGAATCCTGACACTGTCATGCCAGTAGTTCAGACTGGAATCCTGACCTAGCCTCTAACATTGGCATGCCTCTGAAACTTCCAGTTAAATGAGAAGACCCCACACAGAGATTTCTGCTCTCAGTAAAGATCCTTCAGTATGGAGCTGTCAGTGTTCAGAGGTTTACAAGTACTGGCTGCTCTTGCAGAGAACCTGGGTTTAGTTCTTAGTACCTACATAGTAGCTAACAACCATCCATAACTCCAGCTCCAGGAGATTTGACACTGTCTTCTGACCTCCAAGGACACTGAACACACATGATGCATTCACATACAAGCAGGCAAAACATTCATACACATAAACTAAAAATAGATGGACATGGTGGTACAGGCCTCTCATCCCAGCACTCAAGAGGAAGAAGTAGATGGATCTCTGACTCCAAGACACTATGCATGTAGGTCTGTAAATGAGCTACAGCCCCATTCAGTTATTTCATTCTTTTCTTTTAAATTTTTCTTTAAATTTTTCTTTATTATTTTTATTTTATGTGTATGTGTGTATTGCCTGCATGTAGGTAAGTGCACCTGTGTCATGCAATGCCTGTGGAGGACAGAAGAGGCTGTCAGATCCCCCTGGAACTGGAGTTACAGACAGCTGTTAGCTGCCATGTGGGTGCTGGGATTTGAACCTGGGTCTTCTGCAAGAATAGCCTGTGTTCTTAACTGCTGAGCCATCTCTCATTATTTATTTAAACATTCTGCCCTTCAAGTATATCCTACTCATCCCTTTTACTTAAAAGCATTTTTATTGGAAAGAAAAAAAAAAGAAGGTGGAGAGATGGCTCAGCAATTAAGAACATTAACTGCTTTTACAGAGGACCTGAGTTCAATTCCCAGCACCACATGTGGGCTAAACACTGTCTGAAACTCCAGTTCCAGGGGATCCAACGCCCTCTTCTGGCCTTCACCTGCATTGCATAACACAGGTGCACCTACATACATACAGGTAAAACAGTCATACACATAAAAATAAAAAAATAAATAATTTTGGGGCCAGGCATGATAGCACACCCCTTTAATCTCAGCACTCGGGAGGCAGAGGCAGGCAGATCTCTGTGAGTTCGAGGCCAGCCTGGTCTACATAGTGAGTTCTAGGCCAGCTGGGGCTACAGGGAGACTCTGTCTCAAAAAACAAATAAATAAATAAAAATAAAAAAATAAGTAAAATACCCAGCTTTTTTCATGTGGGTCCGGGGGAGGGGGTCAAACTCAGGTCCTCATATTAGCCAGGTGAGTACTTTACCAACTGAGTCATCAGCTTAGCACCTGATCCTAGAAAATAGAGACAGTCCTCTCTCATGGAGAGAGCTGTGATATTATGGCTTATCATGGGGAGTCCAGGGCTGATCCCCTGGCGTGAAATTCACCCTGGACCCCATGATGTAAGATCCCAGAAGCACCTCTCAGTTTACAGAGACACCCCCTGCCCCAGAATAGTCTTCTCAGAGACTGACAGCCACCTCTGAAATACCCTGTGTTTCTAATGCAAAGAGATTCTTTTATTTTATATTTTTTTTTCTTTTGAGATAGGGTCTCACTATATAGCCCTGGCTAGTACAGAACTCACTATGTAGACCAGGCTGGCTTCAAACTCAGAGATCCACTGGTCTCTGCCTCCTCCTGAATGCTGGGAGGTGTACACCAGGCTCTATTTTAGTTTTCTAATTCCTTATTTATTTATTTATTTATTTATTTATTTATTTATTTATTTATTATTTGTGTGTGTGTAGGTCAGAGGACAACTTAGAAGAGTCAGTTCCCTCAGGTTGTCAGACTTGGCAGCAAGTGTCTTTACCCACTGAACCATTTCTCGATCCACAAAGAGATTGATTTTGTTTATTTTTATTTTATGTGTATGAGTGTTTTGTCTGCATGTATGTATGTGCACTTGCATTGTGCAATGCCCATGGAGGCAAAAAGGGGGTGTTGGATCCCCTGGAACTGGAGTTAGGGATGGTTGTTAGCTGCCATAGTACTGGGAATTGAGCCTGGGTCCTCTGGAAAAGCAGTCAGTAGTACTCTTAACCACTGAGTCATCTCTCCAGCCTCTTTTCCTCATAAACATTTTAGAAAATTATTATTATTCTGGGGGAGAACTATCCCCTCTAATTCTCAACAATGGACCCCGTGTGCTGCACTATCAACATGCTAAGTAAGATGTTCCTGTTGGTGCAATAGTGGAGTGCCTAGTGTATGACTGGATATAATGCCCACTCCTAAAGGTGGAACACACAACTGGTACTGTAGACCAGGTCAACCCCCTATGAATGTGATGCACCTGCTAAAGTACCATCCAAGCATTTGTGTTTACGCCCATAGGTGAAGTTATTATGGCAGCCACTGTTTAGATGTTCTTGCTTCTTGCTGCTTGTCTTTTTGTAGTAGATGGACTCCCACTGAAATGGACCAACAGACCATGGAAAACAGATGATGCAGAGACCTGAAAGTTCAGGCCTTGCCACTATGGGAGGAAGATCATCCCACACCCCCCTTCAAGGCTCAGGGACATTTTTGGAAGAGGTTGGCAGAAAGAATGTAAGAGCTGGAGGAGGGGGTGGAGTGTTACCTGTAAGTGTCCTCCAACCACTATGTTGGCAAGCTATAGTCACACCTTCTTCCCACACTCACCCAAGGAGTCCATCGGGGAGTCAGTTACCTCTCCTACCCAATCAGTCAACCAGCTGCATGTGAGGGAGTGGATAAAGGTATATAAGCTGAGGCTATGAGATACCTCTCTCGCCATTTTGTGCAGGTGTCTGGAAGTCATAGGATCTATAACTGAGTGTGGACTTTCCAGCACAGCCATAAATGGGGAGGGATCCCCACTCTTCCATAAATAAACCCCGTACCCTATGCTTTGTTAGCAAGCCCAATAAACTTGTTAGGATTTTCCAAAAAAAAAAAAAGCAAATTATTATTATTATTATTATTGGTCTTTTTGAGACAGGGTCTCCCTGTAGCCCCAGCTGTCCTGGAATTCACTATGTAGACCAGGCTGGCCTTGAACTCACAGAGATCTTCCTGCCTCTGCCTCCCAAGTGCTGGGATTAAAGGGGTGTGCCTCCATGCCCTACCCAAAAATTATTTATTTATTTTTATTTTTGTGTGTATGAGTGCTTTGCCAGCATGTAAGTGCACCTGACATACAATGCCAGTGGAGGCCAGAAGAGGGTGTTGGATCCCCTGGAACTGGAGTTTCAGACAGTGGTTAGCCCACATGTGGTGCTGGGAACTGAACTCAAGTCCTCTGCAAAAGCAGTCAGTGTTCTTAACTGCTGAGCCATCTCTCCAGCTTCCAATACAATATTTATTTATTTATTTATTTATGTATTTATTTATTTATTTGGTCTTTTTGAGACATGGTCTCCCTATAGCTCCAGCTGTCCTGGAACTCACTAT